AGGTATTATTCAGCTTCAGTAAAATAGGTATTATTTCTTCTTTAAATGTTTGGTGGAATTCCCCTGGGAAGCCATCTGGCCCTGGACTCCTGTTTCTTGGAAGGTTTTTGGTGGCTGCTTCAATTTCCTTGCTGGTTACTGGTCTGTTCAGGTTTTCAATTTCTTCCTGTTTCAGTTTTGGTAGTTTATAAGTTTCCAAGAATGCATTTCTCCCAGATTGCCTAATTTGTTGGAATCTAGTTGAGCATAATATGTTCTTATAATTGTTTCTATTTCTTCAGAGTTGGTTGTGATCTCCTCTTTCATTCATGATTTTACTAATTTGAGTCTTTTCTCTTTAATAAGTGTGGGTAGGGGTTTATCTATTTTATTAATTCTTTCAAAGAATAAGCTCCTAGCTTATTCTTTTATTTTTTAAAAATTTATTTATTCATGAGAGACAGAGAGGCAGAGACACAGGCAGAGGGAGAAGCAGGCTCCATGCAGGGAGCCTGACGTGGGACTCGATCCCAGGTCTCCAGGATCACACCCTGGGCTGAAGGCGGCGCTAAACCGCTGAGCGACCCTGGCTGCCCATAAGCTCATAGTTTAAATGATCTGTTCTACTATTCTCCTACTTTCTATTTCATTGATTCTTGCTCTAATCTTTATATTTTTCTTCTCCTGCTTGGTTTAGACTTTATTTGCTGTTCTTTCTCCAGCGCCTTTGGGTATAAGTTAGCTTGTGTATTTGAGATTATTCTAATTTTTTGAGAAAGACTTGTATTGAAATATACTTCCTTTTTAGGACAGCCTTTGTTGTATTCCAAAGGCTTTTGAAAAGTTGTGCTTTCATTTTTGTTTCATAGTTTGCATAAATCTTTTTAATTCTTCTCTAATTTCCTGGTTGAGCCATTTATTCTTTAGGAAGATGCTCTTTAACCTCCAAGTACTTGAGTTTCTTCCAAATTTCCTCTTGTGATGGAGTTCAGGTTTCAAAGCACTGTGGCCTGAAAATATGCAGGGTATAACCCCAATCTTTTGGTGTCAGTTGAGACCTGATTTGTGACCCAGTATGTGGTCTATCTGAAGAAAATTCCATGTACAGTGGAGAAGAATGCATATTCTGTTACATTAGAACAGGATGCTCTGTATATATCTGTGAAGTCCATCTGGTCCAGTGTGTCATTCAAAGCCCATGGGATCCCTGGATGGCTCAGTGGTTTAGCGCCTGCCTTTGGCCCAGGGTGTGATCCTGGAGACCTGGTATCAAGTCCCACATCAGGCTCCGTGCACGGATCCTGCTTCTCCCTCTGCCTGTGTCTTTGCCTCTCTCTGTGTGTCTCTTATGAATAAATAAATAAAATCTTTAAAAACAAAAAAACAAAGCCCTTGTTTCTTTGTTGATCTTCTGCTTAGATGATCTTTCCATTGCTGTGGGTGGGGTGTTGAATTCTCCTACTGTTAATGTATTATTATCTGCGTGTTTCTTTACTTTGGTTATTAACTGGTTGATATAACTGGCTACTCTCAAATTAGAAGCATATATATTTATAATTGTTAGATGTTCTTGTTGGATAGACCCTTTAAATATGCTATTGTGTTCCTCTTCATCTCTTATTACAGTCTTTGGTTTAAAATGTAATTCTTCTGATATGAGGATCACTACCCCCACTTTATTTTGAGGTCCATTTGTATAGTAAATGGTTCTCCATCACCTCATTTTCAGTCTGAAGGTGTCTTTAGGTCTAAAACGAGTCTCTTATAGATAGCATATGGATGGGTCTTGCTTCTTTTTTATCCAATCTGATACCCTGTGTCTTTTGACTGGAGCATTTAACCCATTCACGTTTGTAGTAACTATTGAAAATGTGAATTTAGTGCCACTGTATTATCTGTACTAGCTCTGTTTCTGCAGATTGTCTCTGTCTCTTTGGGCTCCTTTTTTGCTTATAGTATGCCCCTTAATATTTCTTGCAGGAGTGGCTTGGTGGTCACATATTCTCTCAGTTTCTGTTTGTCCTAGAACTCTTTACCTCTCCTTCCATTCTTAATAACAGCTTTGCTTGATCGAGTATTCTTGGCTGCATGTTCTTCTCATTTAGTACCCCGAATATATCATGCCAGCACTTTCTAGCCTGCCAGGTCTCTGTGGAGAGGTCTTCTGTCATTCTAATATTTCTCCCTCTCTGTTAGGAATGTCTTGTCTCGGGCTGCTTTCAGGATTTTCTCTTTTTCTCTGGAATTTGCAAACTTCATTATTATATGTCAGTGTGTTGATCTATTTTTATTGATTTTGGGAGGGGTCCTCTCTACTCCTTGGATATGAATGCCTGTTTCCTTCCTCAGATTAGGGAAGTTCTCAGCTATGATTTGCTTAAATATACCTTCTGGCTCTCTCTCTCCTTGTGCCCTCAGGAATTCCAATAATAAGGATGTTATTTTTTTTTTTTTCAAACCATCATTATTTCTTGGAGCCTTTCCTTATGAGCTCTTTGTTGTCTTTTTGTCTCTTTTTCTCACTTCCTTTCTTACCATCAACTTGTCTTCTATGTCACTTATTCTTTCTTCTGCCTCATTTACTCTAGTTGTTAGAACATCCAGTTTAGACTGCATCTCAGTTAGAGTATTTTTAATTTTGGCCTGATTACATCTCATTTCTGCAGTAAGAGATTCTAGAGTCTTTAATGCTTTTTTTAAGCCCGACTAGTAACTCTAATGATTGTTATCCTGAACTCCATCTATGACATTTTACTTAAATCGATATCCATTAGATCTGTTGCAGAGGGTATTATCTCTGGTTCTTTCTTTTGTTGTGAATTCCTTCTTTATAGTCATTTTGTCCCATGAAGAATGGCTGTATGAATGAGCAGGGTCAAAAATATCAACCATGACCCAAGCAAAATACACACTTATGAAAAATGGTCACTTTTCTATTTGTAGAGTTCCAGCCATTCTTTCCTTATGTCTCAGGTTGAATTCTCAGGTTCAGGATGGTTTGATAGTTATCTAGAAAAATTAAGGGGACCAGATGAAAAGAAGACCTTACTCTTCCACAATCTTGCCTCTTCTTTCCAGGAACTACTTTTATACAAAATGACCATCCTATGAGAGTACAGCAGTGTAGTCAGAACACCATGGCTGTGTGAAAGTTATGAGAAACAGTACAGAGACTGATATAAACTGTCCACCTCTGATAGCAGACACCCTCCCTCCCTCCTTTCCCATGACCCCCAGAGGTGCCACTGAGGGGGAACTTGGTGGAGCCCCAAGATGCAAAAGGTTGGCAGAGGCAGCATCTGTCCAAATTGGAGCTGACTCTGGATTGGTACCGCATATGGGACTTCAATAGAAAGATCTCCTGGCTCCGGACCCAGATGGGGTAAACTTAAATGCTGTCATGTATGCACCTTTGCACTGGAGTCACTTTTAATAAAACAGAGTCTGAATCCATCTCTGTGGCTGGAGGCATTGTGCATGGGCTGACACAGCTTCCCAGCAGCATCTCCAACTTGGGGGAGACTGGTTTTCACATGACCTGCCTGGCTTGGAGGCCAGAATAACATGTGGGTGAGCTGTAGTCCTCCCTGGCAAGGGCACACTTTAGGCAGAGGGTGCAAAACAGATGTTGGCCTATTTTCAGAGTAACTAGTTTCTCATGAGATCATCAATCAACTAATAACATTTTTAAAAACACCATAAGTTGTAGATTATGTCTTACATAGCTGTTTCACAGAAATCTTTTTAATAAAAATTTTACTTATTTGAGAGAGAGAGAGAGAGAGAGAGAGAGAGAATCCTCCATCAGACTCCCTGCTGAGTGTGGAGCCCAATACGAGGCTCGATTCCAGGACCCTGAGATCATGACCTGTGCAGAAACCAAGAGTTGGAGGCTTAACTAACTGAGCCACCCAGACACCCCAGAAATGATTGGTTTTCAACCCAGAATTTGCATTAGGACAATGTAGGGAACTTCTTAAAAGTACCCATTCCTGTGGCCTTGTCACTAGAGATTCTGATTAACTGATTGAGGATTGGGCCTAGCCATACACAGGCATTTTTAAAAGGCCCTCTGGAACATTCCAGCATGAAGTGAAAGTGGGAAAGCATTAACTGGCACAGGGTCATCTAACACATGCAACACCTCTGCTAAGAGGCTCCATTTGAAAGGAGAGGAAACTGAGGCTCAGAGGGGTAATGGGCTATGTCCACTATCACTCAGTGTAGAAGACAGAGCAAAAACAAGAATCCAGTCTGTAGACTCTGAGTTCTGCCTCAAATTAGTAACAACATCAAAGATCAAATGACAAACAAACCTTTTATCTAGATGGTTATAGTTTACAAAGCACTTTGCACTTTCTCATCATCATATTTTATTTTTACAATAATCCTGTGCAGGGACGCCTGGGTGGCTCAGCAGTTGAGCATCTGTCTTCAGCTCAGGATGTCATCCCAGGGTCCTGGGATCGAGTTCTTCACTGGGTTCCTCACAGGGAGCTTGCCTCTCTCTCTGCCTATGTCTCTGCCTCTCTCTCTGTGTTTCTCATGAATAAAGAAATAAAATCTAAAAAAAAAATAATCCTGTGCAGTGTGCAGGTAAGTGACTATCGTTACTACTCATTGCTACTGCTACTACATCATTGTTCCCATTTCAAATATGAGAAAACTGAAGCTCAAAGGGGTAAGTGGTTTAAACCAACAACCTTATCTTAAAAGCCTCCAGTGTGCTCAAAATGTGTGGTGATAAAACTGGCAAACCCTCATACAGGATACACTACGTTCCTCTCCCTCATAACAAGCCTGAGGTGCTGAGGTGCAAGGACTGTTAATAATATATCCATTTTACAGATGAGGACACTGGGGGCCAGAGAGGCTCCATGAGTTGACCAAGGTTGCATAGCCTGTAAAATGGATATAGTTGGTCAGCAGTTAGGCTCTGAGATCTGTATTGTTAACCACGTGCCATGGCCACCAGAGGTCCCTGGGGCCGTGGGTTCTGAGCCCTTCAAGGGGGCCCTTACCTGATAAAGGTCTCCCTCCTTCCCCTATACACAGGTGGCTCTGGTGCTGGCTGCCATGGGGATGCAGGGATGGTCTGTCAATAGGAGTGGATGTTCCTGGATCACTGCTTCTAGAGTGTTCTAAGCAGCATTGCCCATACCAGATATAATGGGTCAAAGGTTTTGGAGGGCGGGGCCTAGAAAATGGCATTTTTTAAAATTAAAAAAAATTACTGAAATATAATTAGCATATAACATTATATAAGTTCAAGGTGTATATCATGCTGATTTGACACATTTCTATATCACCATATGCCCACCACACTGCCATCACGTCACGTTGATGGGAACAATTAAGACCTGGTCTCTTAGCAGCTTTGAAGTTTGTAGCACAGCACTGTCAGCTATAGTCACTACGCTCCGCATTAGATCTCTAGGACGTGTTTATCTACTGATTGCAAGTTTGTACTAGAAGGGGCATTTTTAAATGTTTTGTTGCTTTAAAAAATATTTTCCATTTGAGAAGAGTTGACACACAATGTTATGTAAGTTTCAGGTGTACAGCGCAGTGATTCAGCATCTCCAGATGTTTCGCTCTGCCCAGCACAAGGGTAGCTACCGTCTGTCTCTGTGGGATGCTATTATAATACCGATCCCCATACTCCCTATGTTGTGCCTTTTACAGAAGGGGCACTTGCAACAAGCACTCGGGTGGTTCTTCTGCAAGCTGATGTTTGAAAGACCTAGCTCTAGCAGAAAGAGGTGGAGAAGGAAGATAGTGGTGGTGAAGGGAGAATTGGCCGCTTCTCCACCCTCTGGGCCTAGAAAGGGCCTTCTCCTGGGGAAAGACCTGGCCTGGGGAGGGCTCAGGGAATTTCCTGTGAGGAGGGCCCTGGAGCTGTGACTTCAAGGGGACTCTCTGCAGGGGTGCATGCACCCAGCTACCACAGAGGGCAACTGTTAAGTTTTCAGGAATGTTGTAAGCCAGGTGGCTCCAGGCTGGTAGCCTGAACTCAGCCATAGGGAGCCTACGTATTTGTACTACGGGAATTGGCAAATGGCACAAATCAGGTTTTTCTTATTTCTTCTTTTTTCCTTGGGGCAGGGGGCAATTGTTAAACATTTCCAGCACACCCCCACTGTGGATCCAGCCCTCTGGACTCAGTGCTCACACATGGAAAAGGAGGACATGGGAGTCAAACTTTGAGGCCAGCTTCATGCAAGTTCACATACACAGCACCCTCTGACCGGGAGATGCCCTGTGAGCCCAGACTCCTTCCCTTCTTCTATCTTCCACCCCCTGCTCCTGTGCTGACTTCCCCTGGCCCTCCTGGGCCCCTGCTTGGGCCTTGCCCATTGCTGGCTCTGCATGTTAATGCTTCAAGGGATTTTTGTTTCCTCCGGCTGACAACTGCATCAGAGAGGATGCATCGGAGAGGATGGGGGAGGGGGAAGGGGGAGGCAAACTGTTAATTAATCAGTTTTCTAAACCAAAATAAAAAAACAAACACAAAAGCCTAACCATAACTTAAAGAAATGAAGAAACAAACAAAACCCTCAGCCCACCTCGGCTTTCCTAAGTGTGCCTCCTACATAGCCTGGGACTTCTGCAATAAGATGTTGTAATGTATGTCTACTCACATAGCCTAGAAAATGCCCTGACCTACCTGGCTACCTCTACCCACAGATTTCCACAGCTGGGGCCCTCGGAGCCCTACCTGTGGGTACTGGGAAAAATGTCCATCCAGTGGGAGAGCCCAAGGAGGCCTCACATGGGTCTTGCCTTGTGCCCTGGTTCTGTAATTTGCCTTGTCAACTGTGCAGACTAATTCTTCTGTGACCAGGGCCAGCAGATTCTGGTCCTCCCAGCTCAGCCTATTGCCTGCCCTCTTCCCTCTAGTGCAATCTCCCTCCCCCTCCCTCTCCACTTCCCTGCTTTTCATGGGGGTTTGACTGATTTGCAGGTCCTGGCTCCTCCTGGTCTGACCCTTCTCGTTCCTAGAGAGTCAGAGAGCAGGAAAACAGATATGCTCTTCTCCTTTCGCATATCAGCCAGGTTTAATCTCGGCACATCAGCAAAGGCTTCACACCTTCTCACTTGCTCACTGCTCAGTAATTCTATTAGCTCTGTCTGTCATATCTGACTCCCTACTTTGTTGAGCAAGATATGCTCAGCCTTGTCTCAGACACACGTGTGTGCAGACATCCAAATAATAGGCCAAATCAACCCTTCTCCTCCCATCCCCAGAACAATGGAAACAATCACCACCACATGACCCCTGCATATTCCCAATCAGAAAGAATCCATTGGCATTTAAAGAGAAGATCACGTTTATGCCCCTTTCTGTCCAGCAGAAAATCCTTTGGTGGAATGGGGGTGGCCACAGCCAAGTGAGGGAAAAGAGGGCCAGGGCTTAGCCAACAAATCAGCATGAGTTACACCAGGGCAGAGGGTGGCTGGATTGGGTATAAGTAATAAGTAATCTTTTCTTTTCCTTTCTTCCTTTCTTCCTTTCTTCCTTTCTTTCTTCCTTCCTTCCTTCCTTCCTTCCTTCCTTCCTTCCTTCCTTCCTTCCTTCCTTCCTTCCTTCTTTTTCTTCTTTTTTTTTTTTAGGCTTACAGGGATAGCTAGATCTGCTTAAGCATTCATTCATTCATCAAATACTGACCTCCCTCACCTCTTCTGGGCCATTGCTCAAATGTCACCTACCAACAAAGCCAACATTGACCACCATCTTTAAATTGCAACCCATTTCCAGCACTGTTCCACATTCTTCATCTCCTGGTCTTACTTTACTGTTTTCCACAGTACTTACCATCATCGACCTATGACATTTTTTCCTTAGCTATGTGTTGATTGTGTGTTTGCCTCCACTAAAGTATAAACTCCAAGAAAGAAGATATTTATGCAGGGCAGTGCCTAGGACAGCCTATATCGTAACAATCTGAGAATGTCCAGTTTTATGTATGCCTGAAAAACATACAGGTATCATGTACTTGTATGCACAGTAATACTTCAATGAGTACTGAAGACAGTAATACTTATCTTACTGAAATGATGTCTGTCCCTTTCAGACATTTTTATTATGTCTCCTCTAAAAGCATAGCTTATCAGCCACCAGTTTGGGGTGCTGGACTCACTTCATTTCTTTTCCCTTCACAGTATTTAAGAATAGGGATTTCGGAGCCAGATTATCTGGGTTGGAATCCTGTTTCTGCTATTTACTACATGTGTGATCATAGGCAACTTACTTAACTTCTCTGTGCCTTAGTTTTCTCATCTGTAAAATGGGGATAATACTAGGACCAACTTCACAGAGCTGTGATGAAGATCAGATGAGTTAGTACTGCCAATGAATTTTAAAAAGTTCCCTGCCTATAATTTAGACTACGTAAATGTTTGCTAAATCCCTCTATTTCCCCGTGGCTGATTGCCTCTCCCTGGGAATGGTCTCTAACCCAAGAACTTTCCACCACAGAAAGAGGTAGGTAGAGTGGCTTCTTCTCTGTGAGAAGAAGTATTGTAACTTCAGTGGAGATGGTGGGGTTCTCCGCAGACTGGGTTATAATCCTCAAATATTTGCTCTCTCACAGTCACAGGACTACATATCATCATCCTGTGGGAGGAAGACACATCTTATCTCAACAACTTTGGACCTGGCCATGTGAAAAGCTTTGGTCAATAGAATGTGAATGGTTGTGGTTGTTTTTGCCATGTCCAAACAGAAGACTGATATACAATTGCATGGTTTGGCTTAGGCCTTCTTGTTCTTGTTCTCCACATGCCCTCAGGATGCCCCAGATAGTGGTTGTTCCCATAGTCTGGATTCTAGAACAAGAAGACAGGTGGAGCCTAGATGAGCCCAGCAGAGTCCAGCCAATCCTAGCAGAGCCACTGCCAACCTGTAGCTGATCTGCCTTCCTTTTGTAAAATAAGCAAAAAGTAAATGTTGTAAGCCACTGGGATAGCACTGTTTGTTATCACTGCGAAAATGACTAATACAGGGCAGGAGAATAAGAGGGGAACATATTTTGCAAGACTGTTCAAACAAGATTTTTTTTTTTCACAGAGGGGTCTTTGTGTATGTTATATGTGTGAATGTTCTGTTCACTCAAACACAATACAACTTTAGTTTTCCATAAAAATCAGTATTATATTGATAAAAACTTTGTCTATTATGTATAGTTTAATTTCTAGAAACCTGGGCTTGAGAAGTAAGAAAAGAAGTTAAAATTAAAATAAAAAATAAATTATTGGTCTAGTGGCATTGCCCCCCTGGATCCCTGCTTATTTGTCTCAGGGGGAAATGCACATTAGGAGTTCCAGAATTTTGGATGTGAAGGAACAAAAAAACATGGAAGGATTCTGATTCCTTCTCTCACTTTTCTATAGGGAGCAACTAAGGCCTGGAAAGATGGGCAAGTGCCTGATGGGAGAGTCTTTAAAGCATCAAGAGTGGGCTGTGTGCACATCTGAGAAAGTTAACATGTCTAAGAAGAAATCCTCAAGGATGTGTCAAGAGCATTTTTCCTCATTTTCTGCTTTCTCCTACCATCTCAGAATCCTGGGAGACCATTCACAGGAGTGGTAAAAACTTCTGTTGTCCATTAGAAATTTGGTTCTCCTTTTCCTTCTGGGCACATAGTTAAAGATCACCTGATTGACTCCCTTGTAATCAGATGGGATCAGGTGACTGAGTTGTGGCATCTGAAAGTGAGCAAAAATGATATACTTCTAATCTGGTTCTGGTATTTAAACTTTTCACACATTCTCATTTTCTTGTTCATTCATTCATTCTCTCTCTCTTCCTTTACTGGACAGAAGAAGATTAAATTAGGGGCTTGATGGTCCTAAGAGTCAAGCATAGCCAGTAGATGCAGGATCCTTCCTGCATCCTCTGCTGATGCATCATGAACTATGACTTGAGTGACAGCCAAACCCTTGGTTCTCAAGCTTCCAAGATAGAGAGAGGCTAGGTATTATAATGGCTAGCATTACTCAGCCTGAATAATACAGGGAGAGTCAGTGCAGCTTAGTTTAGATGGTGACTACTATATTTAGCCAAGTAGAAGATCTGCGAATGAGTGGGAAATCTCTGGGATGTGGCCTACTGCCACTGTTCCATCTTGAATACCATCATCAAACTCTCAGAGTAACCTGTCTTGCTTCCTCTACATTTTCAGCCCCCACACACTG